AAGACACTTTTCAAAAGTGTCCTATAAACCCATCTTTTTATAGAACATTATTTCAAATAGTGTTCTATAAAATAGTTAATACGATACTTTATTTTAAAAGCGTCTTCATAAATTTGTTAAAACACCTAAAAACGTCTTATAAACTTATTGTAAATTTTTTAGATAAGACGTTTTTTGGTTTGGTTCTATAAACTTGTGTCCTATAAATATTTGTTTAAGACGCATTTACATTTTAGACATCCTATAAAATCAGTTTTATTGTAGTGGAATATGAAAATCTCTCAGAGATATAACTGATGTTTTATGCAATTTGGAGTATTACTGAGTTTTTCAAGTTTGGCAAACACTTATCCCAAACTTCGGAATTTTTTTTCTATTTATATGCAAAGATTTCTTAAATCTCGAGGCAATAACGACGTCCGAAATTGTCCCTTGCAAATGTCCGAACCTTGTCTTCTTCTAAATCTGATAGTATCTGGACATGTATGAGTTATCGATCGTTATTTCAAGAGGTTTATTTAGACCATGATCATGTTTCACTCATGATGTTTATATATACATTTTATTTAGGGGCTGTTTGATAGTTGCTGAATGGTTTGGTGCAGAATGATTAAGAGACTCTCATGATATAGTGCGAAATGAAATATAATTGTTTGATGATTGTTTACAATGAAATTAGGGTGCTGAATGGTTAAGGGAGACCTATGGTGCAACATTCAAAGAATTTTAGAACCATTAAGAGACAAACTTTTTTTTGCTAAACAAAATTCATATCTTAACCATTCAAAGGCTGCCTCTTAATGTCATCAGAAAATGTTTTGGTATGCAGGTATGTAATGCATTAAACTATGAATTCACTTATCTTATTAGCCGAATAACTGCATGCATCTCAATTGTAAAAAATTTCTACATAGACAAAAGCAGAGAACAAAGTCTAGTCTAGACCAACAAGTAGGGGTTGTTTCTTTACCTCTTAATAGTTCCATTAAAAGACAACATCTGAATCATTAAAAGGTAAATCTTGTTTGACAAAAAAATCTGACTCATAATGGTTCTAAAACCCCCTGAATGATTTTGTATCTTGGGTCTCCCTTAACCATTCAACGCCCTAATTTTACTCTTAACAGTTACCAAACAATTGTATTTCATTTTGCATTATATCATAAAAGTCTCTTAATCATTCTGACTATTTAATCATTCTATATCAAACCATTCAGCAACTTTCAAACATTCCCTACGTTTACTTTCAGTGGATGATCTTATAATATTTATTTACTGTATGGTTTTAGTTCGATATTGTATGGATCAGATGTCTTAGGGCCCGTTTACCAAATACTTACCCGATAAGTACTTACCGGTAAAATTTAACAACATTATTTATTTACCGGGTAAGATTTTAGTCCACTAAAACGACATCGTATGCAACAATTTACCCGGTAAGCGCTTACCATTGTAAGAGTCCTCGCCCTCACTTACCGGGGTAAGACTCTTGGTCCTTGCCTCATTTTTACTGAGTAAGATTCTTGATTCTTACCATATTCATCCAGTGAGATCATGTGACTTGATAAATGCTTATCCATATAAACATTTGGTAAACGACCCTTAGACTGTTAGACATTGGATTTGATAAAGTTGTAAAATACTGTTTTTGGAGTTTTATTAGAACAATAAAATAAATAAAAATAATATAATAAGATTGTATTAAATTAAAGATTCTTTAATTAACGGTCACTGAACCGCAATATTTTAATTTAATTATTAATTCTTGTGCCGATTATAATTTAAATCTTATCACAATCCAACATTCTTTTATAAACAATTGCTATTTTTTGTTCATTTAATTTATCAATTAAATAAATCCACTCACCACAAAAATAATTTTTATATCAACATATAAAATACATGTCTTAAAACATCATTTGTAATAGATTTGGTATCACAGTAATTATTATATATACTACCTTATAAATCAGATTTATGAAAAGTCTTAAAAACAAGTTTTAATGCACAAAGTACTATATATTTATGCACAAAGTCTTAAAAACAACTCATAATGCATTAAGTAATACTATTTTATGCATTCAGTTTTAACATATAGTACAAATTACCTATGCACATTATTACATTTTCTTTTCATGTTCCCAAGATATTTTTGACACATTTCACTCATGTCTTCACCCTCTCATACCTCTACGTCTTCTCCCCATCCCCAAGGTGAGATTCAAACTGATATTCACCATGAGTTATCAAATTTTTTTTCATTTATCTCTCATTCAATTGCTTTAGAACTCTCGGTCTCAGTTTCGATCTCTTGATTCTTTGCTCTTGGTGTAAATCGGACATATTTGTGGAGTCGTTTAAAAATGTTGGATTTTAAATATATTAGATTTTAAACTGTCATACAATTTTTTCCATCGACAGATGCTAACTGGAACCATAACTCTTATTTATTCAAATTGTATTAATATGTAAAGACCAAGTGTAACTTATATTATCGTTAAATCTTCTCTAATAAAACAGTGAAACTTCAAAATCGTTAAAATTCACGGCTCCCGCCACATTGCATTGATACACAACTAGTACCTTATGAACGAAAATGAATTCACAATCGACAAAAATAATATATAGAGCAAACTACAAATTTGGGTTCTGTGTTTTGTCAAAAATGACAATTTTCATTTTTGTAGCTTTAAAATTATAAGATGGTCATCATGTTTGTCAAAATGTCCCGATTTGATCTTTCCCTCTAATGGAGGTTAAAACCTCCCTTATGACGACATTTTCATCCTTTTTTTTTAATCTTTTACCCAGTATAAATCGATTATATATTTTTGGTATCTCTAGTTTTTGATTCAGTAAATGACAAGAAATTGATAAAATGACAGAATTTTTTAACTGCCATTAACGTAGCGTTTGGTACGCAGACATGATTGGACAAGATAAGAGAATAGGACTGGATGGGACAGAACAAGTGTATGTCTGGTGTTTGGTACGACTAGAACTGGACGGGACAGAACTAGACAAATTATCCTCAAAAGTTATTTGATGATTTTAAATATTATATAATAGTTATAATTAACACAAATAAAGTAAATAATTTAATTTATAAATATTTTTATACAATTTTCATATGGATGAATACATATATAGTGGTACCAAATTTGAATGAAAAATTTGATATAATTGATAGGAGTAGTGGTGGTGGTAGTGAAGAAGGTTTAAAAGTTGATCAAAAGTTTATTGTCGACAAACGTAATCGGTCCCACATGAAATCCGTCTTTAAGAACACCAATATGAGATGATACTTTTTCTCACATAGCGATTGAAACTAGCCGAGAGGTGGGGACGAATGAACAGGGGCGGATCCAACCTTTAAGCATTGGGGGGAAAGACCTCTAATCAAAAATCAAAAACATTTGTTCACTAACTTACTTTTCTATTTTCATTCTCGTCTTACATGGTTTTTCCTAATCTCATATGGCCTTATGCTTCCCTCCCCCAAGTCCCATCCTACGTGCCCCCACCCCATTAATTTCCTGGATCCGTCACTGCCAATGAACATGTCACATGTCGCATTAATTACTTTTCTTACTTTGCATATATATATATATATATATATATATATAAATATAAAGTTGGGTTCACGTGAGACCAAGGGTTTTTCGTGAGACCCGTAAGACCAATTTATGTTCATTGATCAATTTTACAAGTTAATGATCTGATGGTCTAAAGTTGCACGGTGACATTTTTGTGATTATTGAGAAGTCTCGTGGTGTTTATGAATGTTCAGATTCTTTGGTCTCAGATATATATATATATATATATATATATATATATATATATATATATATTAGAAGGGTACTCGTGTAATGCAGCGAAATATATTTAATTTTATTCTTTATATAAGTCGATGTTATAATATGGTCTTATGTGATTTTGAAAAAAAACGATGATATTTTTATTTTTGAATAAAA